GGACGTAAGATAACGGCTCCACGGATTGGTCCATTTCGTTCCGGGGACGACATGACATCATGATGTCCCCGGAAGAATCAAATGGACAGTGACGTATCTCCAACAAGGCGTTTTGGGGAGGTATTTTCTGTGTTAGAGTTTTACTCGCTACAGGGTGTACTTTGAGGGTTTTGACTCTGCAGACCGTTTACATGCATAAAAACCTTCATAACAACAAGGGGACGGGTACTAACCGGAAAAGCATGACATCATGGGACCTTTAATGAGATGAAATTCCTTATTAAGAAGAAGAGGTGCACTTAAAGGATCGTCTATTAAACCTCGATGTTATTTTAGAACGTACTAATTCAATACAAATACACTTTCAAAGCTGACCTACACAGATAAAACTCTCGCAGAGACCAGTCTGAACCGGTTCTACATCAGCACCTTATCTGCAGCCGCCCTTCATCATGCAAATATTAAATGGAAAACGTCTCATTTATCAAGCACGGCGCGAAAAGCACTCTTCAGGGAAACTATTAATAAGGCATTATCTCAAACATTTCCACTCTAAATGGGAAAGAGCAGCATTTGTGTGCAGAGATAAAAAAATCCTGAATTAATTTCACCTTCTAGGTTTGGAGTTTATTATTTTTTAGTTCCACTCGTAAATGAAAGTTTCATTTTAAGCCAGTCTTATTAAGAATCACGAGAGTATTTCACTTGTTTCATTACCTCTGCCCCTTTAACATGTTTACTTTAGGTATTGTAATAACTCAACTTGCAAATGCAGTTAGTCCTGACACCTTAGACAAGTGGTTCTCAACTGGTTCTCGGACCCGTTTCGAGTGGGTCGGACCCGTTTCGAGTGGGTCGCGGATGTGAGTGAAGAAAAAGAAATTGGAATTTTATATTTTTTTGGGGGAAAAGTCAAACTTTTATTTTGAAGGCACGATTTTCTAACGCTGTGCATGCAGTGGGCGTTGGACTGGAAGTACCGGAGACCATAAACGGTTTTGAAAACTTCTGTCACGTAGTGATCATCTTCTCAATAAAACATCTTTGCTGATCGAGTCTTCTGGCCAATCAGAATCAAGAGTGTTGCCGGAAGTCCCCACGGAGAATAATTTAGCGGTAGAACTCTTCTTTATACATCCATGGGTACAACTTCAGATTAAAATGAACACATAAGGAAATATGACCCCCGGTCTGATGACTGACAGGTCACAGAACAATGGGGGCTATCTACCCTTACCCACAATTTAAAGTAAGTCACACAGACTCTCTCCTCTTTGCTCTTCTCGCAGCAAGATGTCAGAACAAAGTGAAAAACAAACAATGGCATAACATATTATTAATATGTCGGGTAGTAATAGATTTATTTATTTTCTTCTCAGAGTACCAGAATGCATAGTTTATGTTAGTATTTCTAAAAATCTCCTGGGGGAGAATCCCCCCCCCTGCTGGGGTTGGGTTTTCAGCATGTGAGCCTTTATATATAGTTCAGCTTTGATTCCATCGTCTCATTAAAACTTTTTAAAAGCATACTTTAGTTCTGTGAAGGGATATATGCACTGTACTTCACTTTCATTAATATTGTATGCTGAAAAGCGTATATGTATATATATATATATATATATATATATATATATATTACAGCACGATCTTTTGTTGAATAGATTTGAGTGCTTCAAAATGTCGGGTCGCGATGTATTGACCAAGTAAAAAGTGGGTCCCGAGGCCCGACCAGTTGAGAACCACTGCCTTAGACAACGCTAATGGTGCCCTTTGCAGAGCGGAAAGCCACGGATGGTGTCAGTGTCATAACATGACACCATGACTGCTTTATGACACTCGAAACATTTCATAAACACACATTTGGATGCATTGTTGGCACGAAACAAGATAAACGATTATTTCTGACACTTACATTAACATTTCTTGCTGTGTGGACCATAAATGCAGAGCACAGCATGTTCTTCCCCTCATATCAATATTTACACGAGCTTTCATCCCCCTGACAGGTATCAGAGCACTACATATTATATGAACTGTATCTGATGCAACAATAATGTGTGTATTTGTTGTTTGAGCGTCGCAGATCCACAAAGCAAATGTCAGCACAGATTATCTCTGATGTTTCTTTAACTCTCCGAGGGTTAAACAGAAAAACAGTCCATTATAAATGCCATCAATTTATGCCGTGCAGGGGCAAGCGATGTAATTGACTCCTTTGTGTTGCTGTCTTGTCGGCTCACAGTGTATGATGTGATCCACGTTAACCAAAGGAAACCATGCTAAGCTAAAATGCTACGTCTAAAAATTAGAAATAGGGGATTTTCTCCAACGACGACAAAGCCAAACATATTCCACCCCTGTGGCCCTCAGATGGGAAAGCGTATGGATGAGAAAGAGCAATGAATACCCGTTTGTTGTCACACATGGTTCATGAAATGTCGAAACCCATCTGTGTCGGTGAATGTGGAGCAGCTGCTGCAACACTGGAAACTCCAGGAACGCATTTTCATTTGTTTTATTCTCCGTCTAAATCCCCGGTTTTGTCACACTGCTCATTTCATTTTGTGCTGAGTCTCATTGCCTTTAATAACGCAATGATACACATGTGAGAGAGGAGACATGTTGCATCTGAATGGAATATTTGTGATCATAGAAATTACGTTTTTGTTAGCATTAAAATCACTGCGTATTTGTTGGACAGCGTTGAATGTGAGCTAAAGTCTATCACACACACCACACACACACACACACACACACACACACACACACCACACACACACACACACACACACACACACCACACACACACACACACACACACACACACACACACACACACACACACAATTTCCAAAATTTCCAATTTGTCCCCATAAGGGAGGCGAGTCCCCACACTGTGTAAACAGATTTAGGTCCCCAAAAGTATAGTAATCCTAGGCCACACACACACACACACACACACACACACACACCCCCCCCCACACACACACACACACACACACACACACACACACACCATGTATACATCACTTCAGGGGACATTACATTGACTTACATGCATTTCCTGGAGACTTATCCTAACCTTAACCATAACCAACACATGCCTAACCCTAACCCTTACCCTAACAAAGTCTTCACCCTAAAATTAATGATGCCCCTCATGGGGACCTCCAATTTGTCCCCATAAGGGAGGCGAGTCCCCACACGTGACTGTGTAAACAGATGTAGGTCCCCACAAGTATAGTAATGCTAGGACACACACACACACACACACACACACACACACAGCTCATCTTACTGTAACTTTTATGCCCTGCTCTCCTCCCGCCTCGGCTGTCAAGGCCAATAAAACTAAGTTACAGCTGTGTTTCCCCGCAGCACAGCTCAGCTCCTCCCTCCTTTAACTTCTTTATTTAAATGTGCATTTTGAAGAACAAGCGCTTCTCTCATCTTGAAAGGATGTTGATGACTGGAGCGTAAAAATCTCCATACATTTCCATGAGCGCTATCCGAGTGATCTGTGAGGAAATAGCCGGCAGGTTTATGAAAGTAGAATTTTTTTATTAGGAGTGGTGCAGCGAAAGAGATATGAAGCCATAAATGAAATATTTTATTTGGGCAGAGATATATCAAATTGATGCAGTTGTTATTGTCGAGGGCTGAGGGACATTTGTGTTTTTGTATGAAATGGAATTTGTGGAGGTCCTTACTATAAAGCTTTATGGATCAACATAAAACAAAGCTCACTGTTGAGGGCAGAGCCATTACACTTGAAAGCTTTGGTGGAGCTCACACTGACAGGACATGTGGAATGCAACTTCCTGAATGAGAGGAAGCATGTGTTATTACCTCCACAAACAAAGGGTATGTTTTCTGCTCCGCCTGTGTGTCTGCCAGCAGGATTACTGACGTGGCTAAAGGGCGAACACACCACTAGGAATATTATTGTGAACGCCGCGTTATTTCTTCAGAACTAGGAACACATCTTCTTCACAGTGCTGTTTCCATATTACTGCCTGAAGCTCGTAAAAAATGACTTCCAAACTCGGGGAACGGGACAATCTGTGATTTCATGTGAAGAAAGATTCACCTAAATTAGAAAATCACTTATCTTTAAAGATGTTAATCCACGCATTTGGTTCATTTTGAGATTTCTGTTTTTGCTGGCATCCTAGTGAAGTGTACGTCGGTGAATGCAATTTGGAACTACTTCTTTACAAAAGAAATAGTCCCTCAAATGTAAGTGAAGCAAGACTTGAATGTTGAAAGCTTTCATCCCCCGACAGGCATCAGAGCACTAACTATTATATGAACTGTATCTCATGCAACAATAATGAGTGTGTTTGTTGTTTGAGCGGCGATAATTGAATGTTTGTCTTAGTAACAAACATTTTGAATTTGCAAGTTAAACAAATAGTCAGTAATTTGTCCTTTTTTACGATATGATACGATAAGATACTAAGTAATGCATCACAGCAGCTCTGCTTGCAACACTAACAAGGACAAATACCAAGAGACTGGGAACAGACATTTACCTTTTCTCTACGACAACATGCACACAACCACTAAAGCCCATTCACACCCCTTGCTCACAGCTTTCTCCTCCAGTGAAGGACGTATTCACTGGTAATATATCTAACATACTATTGACCCGAGGTGTCGTGGATCCGATGCAACACTCACAACATTAAAGAACAAGACAAAGCAGCAGTCTATAGCGTCCCTAGAGTCTAAGGAAGCTCAGAGCTGATATGCACCTCAAAGTGCATGCGTAGTTGACCTCTGACCTGACACAATATTGTATTGCATTGCTGTCCCCTCGGTCTTTAAATAATCCCAGGTCCCACTCTGCCGATACCTTAAATGCAGATGTAGATAACTGTTGGCCACAGACATAGGTATGCCGCCTTTCGGAAACCAAATGAGTAACCCAGGCTTGAAACACATGATTACATATGACAGATTCTACAAAGGGACGTATTGTGTGTTTAGATCCTTACCGAACACTTTGAGGAAGATCTCCCTCTCCTGAGACCCCGCCTTGTTGGTGGCTCGGCAGGTGTAGGTTCCTCCGTCCCCCTGGCGGATGTTACGGATCGTCAACATGCTCCGTCCTCCCTCCAGACGGGCGATAATATACTGCTCCGACGGCTCCAGCTGCTGCCCCTTCCTACACACACACACACACACACCATGTATACATCACTTCAGGGGACATTACATTGACTTACATGCGTTTCCTGGAGACTTATCCTAACCTTAACCATAACCAACACATGCCTAACCCTAACCCTAAACCTAACCAAGTGTTCACCCTAAAATGAATGATGCCCTCTCATGGGGACCTCCAATTTGTCCCCATAAGGGAGGCGAGTCCCCACACGTGACTGTGTAAACAGATGTAGGTCCCCACAAGGATAGAAATGCTAGGCCACACACACACACACTACATTTAGAAAACCCATACTTATTTCCTTTACTTGAGTAAAGAAGTTTAGTCAGCACTTTTACCAGAGTATTTTTAAACACGAGTTTCTGTACTTCTACTTGAGGAAAGGATGTGTGTACATTATGGTAAATAATGGTGTGTATGAGGCTCACTGGCTGAGCATGTAGGAGATTACTTTAGTCGTAGTTATTGTTTGTACATACAATAAGTACAGACCATTGTCTCCTTTGTATGCATATATTTAGCTTCCCACTTCTTAACGAAACTAAACATTACTTATGCATTGTCGAAACGCAATAACAATATTTTTGAAACACTTGTGAGCATCGGGGGGGAAGTGTGCTCACACCTGTCAGTGACCTGCTCATAACACACACTGTTTGACGCTACAGGTGTATAATCTCAGCACTTTGGGTGTCATCTGATCCCATAAGAGAGGCTAGACAGCTCGACTCTGAAGCTTATTTTATCTGTAGCTCCAAACATCACAACAGAATCCCTTTCAAGTGTGATTGTTTTTGGAGTGACATATCACACTATAATTGAAATAACTATGCTTCAATGAATAATTTGTAGCATGTCATCAGTATTCCTCACACTTCTTAGACCCTGTGTGCCTCTGTCTGTTCCCAGTGGGTGTTTGAGTCTGGTTGTGTAGTTGTGTACATTGTGTTATGGATGCAGCGCTCGCTAAATGACTCGGGTGTTTTGTGGAACACAGCGCTGACTAAATGTCTTTTTCCTATTGGACTCTGTTGGGAGATTAGTCTGAGAAAAAACAGCTACATTGATCCATGTCTATATTTAAGCTTCTGAAGGTCTGCTGTTTACTTACCGCAGCTTAACCAGCCGTGTAATCTTTAAGGTTAGGGGAACGACACATTTGGGGGGATTTGAGTTATTTCCCATTCTCTTACAGATGTAGACACACTCATGGGGGCTTTGAGCAGGTATTTGAGCATCTCATAGAGCGGAAAACCGCTTTAAATTCTCAAACGATGTATGGTTAACAAATAAATAAACTAAATTGCTAATTTCATGAATGCATGTTATTTACATGAACCCACAGTCATGTAGGACAAAAATGAAGAGTCCCTACTTTGCTTCTTAGGGTGTTCCCTTCCCTATAGTGTGTTATTTTGTGCATGTCAATGGTCTGCAGAGGCTCAAATCTCGACCACACACTGCATGAAAAGCCTCCGAAGGACTGTTTTGGCTCAGTCTTCCCGCCCTTAATAAACCCAATGTACTGTGAATAGCATTGTCTCATGAGCTGGCCACAACAAGAGCCAACTGACGAACACATCTTTCATTAGTATTGACAACAGAAAGGTAAACAAGGATGCTAATGCTGCAGGAGAAAGAGGAACAAATGAAAGATCCTTTAGAGAGAAAAGCAGAGTTCAGAGAAGAGTTTCGTGTGGATATTCAGCAGGTCAGAGAAGCCTCTGTGGTGGCCGGCAGATTTCAGCTCAGAGATCCAGAGGAAGAACGAATGCTTTCCTCTAACATCGACAAGCTGTGCGTCCTTGAGCAAGGCACTTAACCTCCAGCTGCTTCAATGGCCAGTGGTGTTTGTACTGGCCTGCTCCCAAGTGTGTGTGTGTGTGTGTGTGTGTGTGTGTGTGTGTGTGTGTGTGTGTGTGTGTGTGTGTGTGTGTGTGTAAAAGAGACCCTGGCTGCATGAGAGGGTGCATTAGGAAGATACTTAAAAATAAATGATCATGGCTCGGGATAAAAGAAAAACCAGCTTTCAGCTTACAAGGAAATCAGATGCTTTTTAATATCATCCAAATCCAATGCCTCGAAGTGTGGAGGTGTGACAACCCGATCTGAAAGAGACACCCTGTTTTTAACCTCATAAGCTTCTGTGTGAATCCAATTCAAAAGCTTGGAAGCACCGAGCTCAGAATAATGCATAGCTCTAAATACATTCTGTATACGGTCTCAGTCTACAGAGCGAGGGGAAAATACAAACACAATGTTATTATTTGGGGGATTTCTAGACCCAGTTGTCCGCAGCTTCGTGCACTGAAGGAGAGAGAGAGCGAGGATGATTAGAAGTCGACACCAAAGTAATAATAACGCTGGCGAGCCGAAGAGGAAATGAAGAGAAGCCTCATCTTCTGACTGGACTACAGCACCGAATGTCATTATTCTGACTGACTGCTGACAGGTAGTCCATTACCCACGATGCACTGAGACAGGAAATGCAACTGGGAGACGCAAGGGGGGACTTCGGAGGGGGTGACATCAAAAGAAAAAGTAAATTGGGTTGTGATTGTTGTTTACACCGAGGCCCATTCTTTTGTTGTGATGTGAGCATTTTAATTCTGTTCTGTCGCGGGACTCGCTGACCTGGGAAATGAAGGAGAACACGACGAGGTGTTTGACAGGCGGTGGACTCACCGTGAGGAGTGGGGAGGAGAGTCTGTGTATCTACTAAGGCTTTAAGGAGTGAAATGCAGGGGGCAGAACATGCCAGCACCTCTCCACTGTGACATGTCTCCATGCTTTCACGTTCTAAAAGGTCTCTATTCTTCTCATACTGCCTGAGCTGCTGCAGTTACGATGTGACTGTTGCCAGCATCCATAGTAAATAAAGAATCAGTGATCTACTTATTTATTTATGAGCGGCTAAAAGGTCTTAGGCCTATTACAGCCGTATCCTATTGATTGATTGATTGATGACTTTGGGATTGTTGCGTTTACATGTAAACCATAAAAATAAGTACATATATAAACGTAGATTCCAAGATGGACGGCGAAGATTATCTGGTTTTAGGCTCTCGTTAGCCGGTGTCTCGTTAGCCGGTGTCTCGTAGCACAGAACGCAGACTGGGAAGGGGACCCAAGTTCCCATCAGCAGAAACACGTGGGTTTGCTATCCTGGCTCCAAGATGGTGGAATGAGCTCCCCATTGACATCAGGACAGCAGATAGCTTACACACCTTCCAAACTGAAAACTCATCTCTTTCGACTCCACTTCGAGCGATAGAACTATTAACGAAGCACTTTTATACTAACAAAGGACTGGCTTATCTAAAGCCAGTTGAGTAGCACTTGAAATGTTTGGCTCTATGAAACCTGATGTACTTTATGATTCTGTTTTCTTCAAGGTTGTATTTTGTTGGTCGAACGAACTTATTGTAAGTCGCTTTGGATAAAAGCGTCAGCTAAATGTAATGTAATGCAAAGGCTCATCTTCGGTGCCTGTGTAGGTAAATCCCATTGTACTTTCTCTTCATCTTCCATTTCTTTCTGCGGTATCTGGCTTGTATCATCTTCATTAACGGTAACCTCTTTTCTCTTCAGAGAACCTGATGCGAGCCACGGATCCATGTTTGTGGTTTTGCACACGTAACCATGGGTAACCAGTGGTGAAATTAAGTGTTGTCCATAATTAACAATAACACATATCTTGCGTTTTAACACTACGTTTATATATGTACTTATTTGTACAGTTTGCATATGAGGTGGTCCGCGAAAATCCTTGATAAAAAAAAAGTGGACCACAGTTTGAGAACCGCTGCTCAAAAAGCATAAAAGTAATAAAATCAAACGTGCTTTTCACATGTTCACTGAAGACACACTTCTTCTCTCTGGCCTTCGAGTCACAGCATGACACCTGACATTTCCCTGTGTTTTGACTTTATATTTCTGTTGTCAATTCTTGTCTTTTCTTCCTCATGGTATTGTAATGTGCTTTTATTACATGTACAGCACTTCGGCTCGACCAAAAATCGTTTTTAAATGTGCTTTATAAATAAAACTTGATTAGATTTGATCCCCACAACCAACATGTCCCAAAACAGCTATAAGTGTAATGATTATCCCGGGATCAAAATGCCACATGGAAAGTCTAATTACGCAGGAGCAAATTAATCAAAACGTCACCTCTCACCCGTCGTCGCTGGGAAATATGCCGCTTTATATTATGCACGCTGTTTAATCATTAAAATCACATTTCCCCGCTTTGCTGTGTGTGTGAAGACAAGGTAGCACACACCCAGGAGTAAACATGGCTCTAGAAACCAGAGAGCAAGATGAACGAGTCGAGGTCGTTCCCAGCTGTGAGCTGTCTTCAAATGTTGTTTGTACTTTACAAAGTGATGCATGTGCCTGTTTTCCCCCCCGCTATGATCGAGTTCTCTTTCAACCTTCTACACGAGAGACTTCAGTTCTCATTACGGTCGGTATCATTCTTGGAGGCTACATGCAGGACGGATGCATTTACCGGCCTAACAACTGTATGTGTTTCAGGGCGTACGGTAGCTCCTGTCATCGCGTTGAATGTGGGATCATGTGACCTCTATATCTCAATATCTGACAGCTCTTCTTCTTGTGAGCTGAAGATAACCTGACATATGTGTAGCATTGACAACATAATGTTATATCATTGGTGTAAGGGAAACGTCTGCAGCAATGGAGAGTCAGGACTCAGAGAGACACGAGGAGAGTTGGAGCTTTGATGTCAAACAATGATAGTTTATTACAAGTCAACGGCCGGAGAATTCACATCACAAGTCACAGCAGCAAAAGGTTCTGACTGCACGGGTGGGTTGCCATGTCAATTCTGATCAGCCTCGCATCTCGATAGACCTTTTAACTAGTTTACAGAGAGTCAAATCCACATATTGGGGATGGGCGTAAACATCTGCAGACACAGGAGATGTCTCTCACATCTGTGGAGCTTAGAAAGCCAGCGTTCTCACAGTCGCATAACCCCCCTGTGCCCACCAGGTCAGGCCATAAAACCTAGTATCAACATACGACTGCATTAACACATTCCTTACGGGAGATTAGAAGCAAGGATGGTCGTAAATGTCAACACACAGAATAAGTTAAATGTCTAGGAGTAAAGACAAAATTAATCCCTAACAAATGGAAAAATGAATTATTGAGCAGCAACGATTTAGATAATCGAGTGAAACTGGATGTAGAAATATATAGTAATTAGTAAGGGGCCATATTAAGCTCATTTTAAGGATTCATAATTGTATTTTGGGCCATGTTTACATGCTTTAATGTGGCATTTAATAACGTTTTTTGATTGATAGCTTTTGTCAAAGAAATCTGTAATAAAATGCCAATATGAAAAAACGTCTTCTGGTTTAAAGCTGCCGTCATAAAGCACAATTAAACCCTTCTCCTCTGCAGTGAAGACTACACATAACGGTGGTTAAAGGCAGAACCACCACTTCCTCAAACACCATTTCTTGAGTTTTGACCATTTTAAGTCTTTTAAAAGTATGAGTTTTTTTGATAAATGTTTACATGGACTGCCCCCCCCCCCTTAGGGGAATTATTCCACAGAAAACACACTGGACGCTGCACTAGGTCAGAAACCAGAGGAGACTGTGAGGTCCACCGTAGACGGACCACTTTTGGACAAAATGTCCTCTCCATTAAAGGCAGCTCTTTCTGGAACAGCCTCCCAGCTGAGATACGGGATTGTTCCACTCTCTATAGTTTTAAAGGACAACTCAGAGAATGTTTAACAGACGTGTAATCACCGCTAAATGCACTTTAACACAGGGGTATCTCCTCCTGCCCTTAATATATATATAATATGTCGTAGCTGCTACAGTGTACTGCCATGTGGTAAATACTTGTGTATGCTGCTCTTGCTTTTTCTGCATATCATGTATTTATTTTTTGCTATGTTTCCAAATGTCATGTTCTTATATGTTGTATGTGACGGGACTACGGATGGAAATTAGCTCAAAGCTAAAATCCGGCATATTTACACTTGAAGCATTATTCGTCTAAAGTGCTCATTAATGTCCCGATTCAAATAAACGATTAAATGAAAATGAAAATGAAAATAAAAGCGTGAAATTGCTAAGAGTGTGTGAGAGTGTGTGAGAGTGTGTGAGAGTGTGTGGGTGTTTAAGTCTCAACACTTAGAGGTTGCTGTGTGTCATTATGTTCAATCAGAGCCAAATGTATTTAAGTGTTTCCCCCCTTGGAGCTGAACTTTGAGAGGAAGAATATTGATATTTTATGGGCATGGATAACCTTCACTGCATATCAAACTTACCTACAACTACTCTCCAACATTTTGAGTGTGTGTTCCTACAGTTCCTTCAGGGCTGCCATTGATTTCTATTCATTTCAAAACAACGCACTGACACCTGCCTGCGGGTCACAGATAATGTCAGCTGTCTCTCGTCAACTCTGTCTCTTGTCATTTCAAAAATGATCAGGAAGTCCCTCTCTGTTTTATCATGCAACAGTTGCACCCTAGTGAAGTCAAGAGGTGCCTCGAGTAATTCAGAAACACTTCACTTTGGAAACTAGAACAAACATTTGGATTTGGATGATTAAAAACAGTATGAACTCTGCTGTAATGCCAAAGAGTTATCAATAGGTGCTCAGGTGCACACAGCTTTCTGCTGAGTGGGTGCAAGCTAATTACTTTTGTTTGACATGGTTTGGGTTAGACCCCTTAGTTCCATAAGATTATATTAAAGCTACGGCATGCAAAACAATATCTAAGACCGTGCCCTTGTGGATAAATTGGAGAAAATACTTAGATAATGTCACCTGTCTCTTGCCATTTCAAAATGATCAGGAAGTCCCTCTCTGTTTTATCATGCAACAGTTGCACCCTAGTGAAGTCAAGAGGTGCCTCGAGTAATTCAAAAACACTTTGCTTTAGAAACCAGACAGAAACACGGCTTTGGTGGATTTGGATGATTAAAAAACATTATAGTAAAAGGTATGAACTCTGCTGTAATGCCAAAGAGTTATCAATAGGTGCTCAGGTGCACACAGCTTTCTGCTGAGTGGGTGCAAGCTAATTACTGAAATGAGTGGATAGCTGGGGGTCAAATGCTCTTCAGGTGCAGATGTTCACACTGGTGCTGTGCGAGGGCGGACTATACACTGCTCTGTTAATATCCAGATGAACTGCAAGCAGAACATCTAACATGTAGTTTATTAACTCATGCATGGGTATGAATACAGATGAATAGATAGCTCAGCATTAACTGAGTGGTTATTCACCTAAATGTTCATTTCTTATTTTAAAAGTTCACTATATATTTTAATTGTATCTTAAAGGTTATTCTTCTTGAGGGACTTCTTCCTCTAATATCTCTCTGAGGTGTACGTCAGACACCAATGATGGGTTTTAAGGAAGTAGGACGTACCTGTGCCATGTGACCAGAGGGTCAGGTGATCCAGAGGTCATGCAGGTGAAGGTCACTGATTCCTGGTAGTCAGCGGTGGCGTTGAAGGCCGGCTGAAACACCGAGAGCACCGGAGGGACTGCAGACACACAAACACAATCAAATCAACATTTATTATGGCGCCAGATGACAAGAAATGCCTCAGAGGGCTGTTCAAAAGCAAGAGAGAACATCTAGATACAAACGTCATAGCAGAACAATTATAAAAACATTATACATAAGTATTGCCATGTGACTGAAGTGATGCTAATGTAGATGGAAACTAGGTGATGGAAAGTAGTTGACAAGAGATGGGTTTTGAGTTTTGAAAGCCATTAGACCCTGACACTTAATTGCATCTCTAAAAACCAAATCTATACAATATTAAGGATCAAAGGGAAGATGCAGTGGCGTGGCCGTGTCCCGTAAACACCCAGAAGATGCCTTTCTGTCCCTCGGGGATTTCAGGTAACATTCGACCGAGCTTTGGTAAGAAAACACAAAGGATCTGAACACAGAGATGTGAATAATACTATTGTCCGATTCTGCTCAGATAAATCCGTAGAGAATGTGTGTCGACAACAACAACAACAACAACTGTACAATCTGTGATAAACGCTGCCTTTCTTTGGTGAGTAAAGTATTCAATCTGTCGAGTGATCGAAGCACGGACGTTGTTTTTAGTGTCAGGCTAATTGGTGCGTTTTGTTGCGTTACTAAATACTGTCCATATTTACATTAATGATGTCACCGTCTGTGTTTCCTGTAGTTATTCCATTGCTCTTGTTACTGCCCTGTTAGTGTACAGTTGTATTATCACGCTGCTGTGTTTATTTATTTTATATACTTCATTAATCCTCGTGGGGAAATTGTTTCTTTGCATTCGACCCGTCCTGTGTTAGGAGCAATGTGCTGCCATTTTGAACGGCGCCCGGGGAGCAGTGTGGGGAACGGTGCCTTGCTCAGGGACACCTCGGTAGCACTTGGTCTTGCCGGGACTTGAACTGGTGACCTTCCAGTTCATATTCCAGACAATATTGTCTGTTTTTAAATGTATCTAAATGGCCTTATTGTGAGGACATTTGTAATTCCTTATGCTTGTTCAAAACACTTCATTGAAGTGAACTGGTGACCTTCCAGTTGCCAAGACAAGTCCCTATCGACTTCGCCACCACCGCCCTTTAGTGTACCTTTGTACCTCTGTCACAACTATTTCCTTCAGGATGAATAAAGTCCCATCTTATCTTGATCAAAAAGCTGATTTAAAAGTGTTCCAGGACACAAATCCACACATTTTAGGGCCATTATGAAGAGGTGATAATAACGACAAAACAATTGCCATGCAGAAAATGTATGAATAAATCCAATATGTCTTGTTAATCTTTTACAAACAGCAGTACTGATACACAGCAGAGGTATTGATGACTGTATACAGAGGATTTGTTGAGTGCTGTCGCTGTGGCCATTGTTTGTTTTGTCAGACTAATTTCTGCTGAGTCGTTATTACAAAGGCTTAATCGCTGTGATTTTAAGGAAAGGGGTCTATAAGACGTGCGCACACTGACTGGGAAACATATTACTAATCATTTGATAACTGATTGTCCTTTGACACTAATCCAATATTTGTTTTGAGCCATGATGATGAATTCTATGCTTGTGATGCAGAAAATGTACGAACACATCCAACACCTCCTTAATCTCTTTCAAACAGCAGTATTGATACACAGCGGAGGTATTGATGACTGTATTTCTTGAGTGCTGTCGCTGTCGTCCAATCAGATGAGAGCTGTCATTCAGTAAGAGGAGAGCCGGTCGCTCTTGTCTACGCTTGTCTTTGCGGTGACATTAGGCTCCGACAGCTTTACGGCACAAACGTGTTTATCAGACGTCTCGGTCCATTTCTCCTCCTGTACTTCTACTCCCACTAACACTGATCTCAGACCAGTCTCAGGGCGGGGTTAGGCATGTTTGCAGCGGCTTATTGGAGAGCCATGACACTCCAGGAAGTGCATCACCTGGCTGCAGACATGTGAGCATGCAGCAGCAGAACAAATACTCTTGTCCGAGACTTTAAACTCACAATACTGTCTGTTTTTAAATGTATTTAAATGGCCTTATTGTGAGGACTTTTGTAATTCCTTATGCTTGTTCAAAACACTTCATTTTTTATTACATCTGCACGAAAACTCAATAGTGATATTGTTAGGAGGAAATACCTTTCAATTCAAGTTCTTCCTTCGCAACGATGCAACAATCGTACTCAAATAATCGCCAATGTTCACATTCAAAATTCACTTTAAAATCACAATGTTGTCTGTTTTTAAATGGCATTTTAAATGTGCTATATATATATATATATAATGTTACCTTATTGCTTACTCTTGTGCACGGAAACTCAATAGTGATATTGTCAGTCAATACATATATCAGACTAGGAGGAAATACCTTTCAATTCAAGTTCTTCCTTCGCAACGATCTTACTCCAAAGACGTGCACACATGTCTACACTCCGTCTGTCTGTCTCTAATGAAGATCTCACGCAGGTGGAAATGCAATCCGTACTGTTTGAACTTATTGTATATAAATAAAATCATCTTACTCCCATTCCTGCCAGAAGCTACAACACAGCCCTTCTTTCCAAAGGTCCAATAGCTAAGGCACATGAGAGCATTAGCATAATGAGACCCATTACTCTGTGAAGCACTGGAGGTCATGAGAATGATTATTAATGCCCGGTGTAAAAGCAAAGCCGTTATTATCCAGACTATTTATCTACATACGTTCCCAACACCAGAGAGTAAATGAGGACTCAACTTCATGTAAAGTGCATGTGGCGAAGATGGCTTCGTCACTGTGGACTGACGGCTTCGGGCTTTGTATTTTGAAAAGTGTTCCCTTTCCCCATGTCTGTTGCTGTTGATTGTGTGCACCTGGTGCCCCTGTCGTCTCCTCCCCCCTCACCTGTGTCTTGTTGGGTTAATTGGTGTGGGTATTTAGGCTCTGTGTTGCCTGTTTTGTGAAGTGTGTGTGAGATCCTGGTGACTGTGCTCACGTGAACAGCAGATTGAGGCTGTGTCATGTGCCGTGAGTAATAAATGCCCACACGGGGTTGTATTTTGGACGTTCTGCCTCCTTGCTTGGTCTGTCAACGGTCGGCTTCACAGTGTAATTATATTTCACTTATCCACCCTCAACAGGTTGCAAAACATTATGGTTTACTTGTGTTGAGTACTATTGGTGTAACTAAGGATGAAAACTCCGGGTCAACGCAATTCAGCATATTGATCTCCGAATCACAGAAGATCAGCACGACCCACGCAGAGCTGTTGACTTCTAAAGCGACTTGAGCGTCTGAAAAGCTGGCTGTCTTTTAAAAACATAACAGATGTTTGCATTTGTGTTAAATATGTATAAATGGCAGCTGCTGCAAAGTGATATTATGTCAGGATCATTCGTCTTACCCTGATCAAAACAAAAGGTGTCGTTTTGTGTGTTTTACTCTGAACTTGTAATTTAGTGTGGGAGTGATTGAAGGTTAATGAACGGAGTTTGTTTCCCAAGTGATGTTATCGGAGGACACTCAAAAACAACTCGGGAGACGATAAGAAATGCATATTATAGATAGTCTCATTAAAATGCGGTCTTGATGAAAGTCAGTTTGTAGGGATAGGGAATCAAAACAGCATCACCGCAGATACCTAATGAAGCGAACACTGCGGTGTACTCTAGCCTTTCTTAAAAGATCAATTACACTAACGGCACCAGAGTGTGTTATCGTGAGAAACTCTTCATCTCAACTCTGCAGCGTCTGATCCATCTGCCGTCCCCTGGTGTCTATCTATCATTCACTTATTGCCTGGTGCAAAACAGAGATGAATATTTCCCGCATTATCAGTGAATTCCACACACAATGCATGCCTGCCTTATTGGGAGGATCTCGATGCCTTAAGAAGGCACACCACCCGGGTAACGAGCACTTTGTACGGCTGCGCTCAGGCAGGCGCTTCCGTACCATGTGCACTAAACGCTGCTAATATTTAAATTATCTAAGCCTTCCGTGCAATACGAGGGGAATCGTGCAATTTAATTTATTTGTGTACATATTCCCTATCATGTCTATTTAAGTCCCATTTCTTGTTTTCATATCGTCTTGTTGTTGCGTGTTGGCACCTTGAGTTCATTGTAATGTCGTTGTACCTGTACAATGACAAAATTAAAGATCTATCTATATGCAGAGGAACATGAAGGACTGGAGAGCTTTGAGGGATATGAACGGGCTGAGCAGTAATCAAACACCATGAGGCCTTTCCAATAGTCCTGACTCGGCGATCGCGCAGAGAAAGCATCTGCCTGACACGATAACCATTGATTTCCGCGCCAATATATTTCCTTTTCTCCAGTGTTTCTCCCTCTCTCTGCAACACACTCCCACATCAGTGAGGCTGGTTGAAACGGCCCGTTAATGAGACGCAGTGCCAAGCAGAAAGACTTCAAAACAACGAATCAGCAAACAGGCTCTGAGCGTCCAAGAAGAATCTGGCGTAATGAATTCTTCATGTGTTAGTCAACTTCAGAGGCTCGCTGGAGGTGCTGCTGAGGTTTTACAGACATCCCCACAAGCGTGAGGAGACTCTGCAAACATATTCCAACTCGCTCACTGATTTGAATGCATCGCAGAGGAGCTGGAGGTCTGTTACGCGCCAATGGGCTTCAATGAACTCAGCATCAGTCGTGTTTAAAAGTCGGTACATATCAGAACCGTGTACTAGATAGCAAGCGAATGTTCTGAGACCTTTACTGGAGTGCTTATTCGTGATTTTAGATCAGAACACACTGGAAGGAAACCAGCCCTGATTCATAATTGGTAAATAAAGTGGTTGATCTTCTAGTAATGTGTGAGTTAATCCAAAATTAAATGTCTTTTGCATCACCATCAGATATAAAGAGATGTTTGATATTGATTAAGGAAAACATGAAGCTCTATTGAAGTGAGAAACATTGAGATGCAGGCTATAGTGTAATGACGAGCAATCCATATTGAATTGCATTAAAGCAGGAGTTTGACATTTAGTGATTACACTTATTTAGTTTCTTGCAGAG